TCTTGCACTCATCATTTGCAGTCGGAATACGTCCTCAGCTGAACAAAGACATCCATCTTAAGTGAAGGTTTACCATAATTATGCTAACTGCTTGTGAACTCTTGGTCTATGAGTGAGAAATATTTTCACCCGTTCACCCTAGTAACATAATGTGTAAAGTAAAATGGTACGTTTTCTTGATAACACAATTTTCGGTATTTTGGAATTTTCCTCACTCCACTATTTCCGCTCTAAAACGCATTTTTGCATAATATAGGTAATCGTTACGTGCATAAGCTCTTACAACATCGTTGCGACACTAGCGCCAGCCAATTTTGACAGCAAAACCTCTTGTTTATGGTTTACATTACCATTGTAAAACCGTGTTATAGTTTTGTGCAAAATAATTACAAATTAATGTTAAAAACTATGTAGTGAATGGCTTCCGGATTCATTATTTTTATGATGGTACATTTTATTACTGGCTTGTACGTAATACTAGATTTGGTTAGAGCTATTACTCTAAAATTAACGTGGGATATTTTTGTTTGACGATAATTGTAATGTTGCACAATTACTTATGTACCATTGGAAAATTTGAAGGAAATGCTTGTGGCAGTAAGAGTGTTATGTTAAATAGAAGGTTATGTAAATATGTTAAGCTTTTGTTTCATCTGCTATGGAGACGTTAACAACTTTACTAATCTTATAAACGATGTGGCAATTATGGGTTGTGTTAGGGTTTCATCAGTAAAATCATCATCTCAAAAATTATTGTAATTTCATTTAACAAAGTACTCGACATAAATCATATGCAAACATACCCAAGTTCACCTCCACTGTAGCGTGTAAACTAGAGAAATTACCATAATTACACAATACTACAAGTTTCTCGTAATTTTCACTTATTTTCGCGAGTTAAACCTCATTTGTTTAACGCGGAAACCGGTTTCGGATGTGTCATGGTACGGTGAACGAACAGCTGTCAAATCAGCGACAATGCATAGCATGGGCGCGCGTTAATTTCCATCAACATTGTGGATCATCATATCACTTATGTAGGAATGGGAGAAAGAGCGAGGCCGGTGCCCGCGGCGGCAGTCGCTCCTCACGCGCAATTCGACATGGTCAACTGTACATAATTACGTGCACCGAGCGTATATCATCAAAACACAATTGCGCGTATCTGAACGCGGCGCGTCATTCGAAAAAAAAGAAATGTCAAATTTTCGCGCGCTTTTCGGTCCCATAGATAAAACAGATCATGATTTATTGGAACGTGTTTCGTGTATGAAAGTGAATTAACATTTTTTTAATTCATATCGTGTTGAAGTGAATGTGAAACTATCTATTACGTAAGAGTTTGTAAAAATTCTTCGGTGTTCAAGATAAATTTTTGTTGAATTCTTGTGTTTTGTTATTACTTCATTTCTAATCAAAGATTAATTTATTAATCGGTTCTTGGATTTACATGTAATATCTGGATTTACGATACCGTATTCTGTTACACTTGTCGAAGGGGTTGATAAAAAAGTTTTTAATAAATCAAAATATGATCGAAGTTGTGGCCTGTTTCTCATACTCTTCCTATTGTTTTTCACTTCTGTTTACATGTTTTCTTACAGGAATTGTTGTGACAATAGTTTGTTCATAGAGAAAACATGTGCATGGTTAGAAAAAGTTGGGAACCCAATCAAAACGTAGCATCATGAGTGTATGCGCATACTAATTGTTACCTTTCGTTTCTACGATAATTACTTAATTTGTTAGACGTGGTTTGCATAATAAGTAGTTACAATGATATTCTGCAAACAATACGGAGTAATTTTGGAGAAATTTCAAATGTTTAATTACTTAAGCTGGCAATAAATCCGCCATTTTTGAGCCTACGCAAAAATATTACGAAATGTTTTGATCTTAATTAATTTTTGTAGTATCAAAACTCTGAATGAATATTATTATGTACAATTTGAAATAATTTTGATCTAAATTCATGAATGGTAATGCCTTATTGATAGGTTTATGTTTTAATAAATATTTTTTGATTCTTTGCAAGGTCATCCACGTAATTTTATGAGCAGATGGAATTTAGACCATTTAGCTAAATATATTCAGAGGTTTTAGCCTCGTAGGAAAATAATTAAGTGACGTTAGTTCGTTAGTATGAACTGAAATATCTTCAGTAACATAATTGGGAGCACATATAAATATTGCCTGCTTGCCTCGTTGGCCGAGTGGTTGCAAATGCGACTGCCGGGCAAGGGGTTTCGGGTTCGATTCCCGGGTCGGGCAAAGTATTACTGGGTTTAAAAAAAAATCTCAGTAGTAGCACGGAGTCTGAAATTGTGCCCGGTATATGGCAATAGGCTCACCCCCTATTACATGGGACTCATAGCATAAATAGTGAAAAGTGGGTGTTACACTGTACAGTGGCATAATGTGCACCTCTGCCTACCCCTTCAGGGGTAAAAGGCGTGATGCTATGATATGTTTTATAAATATTTATGACCAAAAACAAATGGAAAACAGCAAATACCATATCAGACACAAGATCGATCTCCTTACCATCTATTTGACGTGTATAAAAACAAAATATTTTACATAATTTCCTAGTAGTTGGTCTGCGCTACATCGCTGTAGAGCTCATAACAATAAGTACCTACTATTTATTGCATTTGCATGCTACATGATGAAGAAAGCGCTTTACGCTGCAGAGCGAAACGCATCACTCGATGCATATTATAAAACGTAAATACCAAAAAGTATTTAACACGACATTATAAGGAAACACTTCATATATCATTTTAAAGTATATATTTCAGTCATTTAATTTGAAAGTAATGAGTTGTTATTTATTTGTCGTTTGATAGCGGTCTTTCCTAATTTAATAACCGTTTAATAATACTTTGTATAGTGTTTATATCTGACTACCTCGTTAGCCGAGTGGTCGCAAGTCCGAGCCGGGCAGTTTATTGGTTTTTTTTAAATAATTCTCAGTAGTAGCACGGAATATGGAATCATGGCAATAGATTTATCACCTATTCAAGGGATTCATAACATAAATAGTGAAAAGTGGGTGCTACATTGTACAGTGGCGTTAAGTGCCGTAATGTGCACCTTTGCCTACTATTTCGGGGATAAAAGGTGTAATGTGATGTTATGTTATGTGTTTTTAATTGTGTATGCCATACATACTTATTACTATGCCATTTATTTATTATTCGTCTTAAATTACGCGGGACTTATGACATAAATTGAAAAGGGGTCATTGTTCTTATGTGGTTATGGTCACGATGAATGATTCATTCAGCTTGTTTGAGATTCGGATATTGTCCTGACAGTCCAGAATACTAGCCATTGCCCGCGACTTCATCCGCGTCGAATATGAATTGTTTACGTAACAAAACTTATTTTTTGTTTAATTTTAAAAAGTAATAGTAACCTATGCTACTCCTTAGTACATCAGCTAGCTGCCAATAAAAGTCTTACAAAATCGGTCCAGAGATTAGCCAGTACAAACAGGCAGATAGACAAAAATTGTATAAATTGTTATATCGGTAAATGTATTGTATGTATATTCATATGCATGTAGTAAAAAGCATATAAATCAACACTCCAATTTTATTTATCTGTATAGATAACGCTTGTTGGTACTTAATTTCTTTTTGAGATAGATATGCACCTATGGAATCACTTGTTATTTTTCTGTATGTTTTGTTCACCGTTTTGTTTTTTGCATGTGGTGTTAACCTATAATTAATTGTTGCACTTGTAAATGTTTCTATAACTATTTAATCAGCAATGTATATAGTGTAAACAATTGTTGGTTAACCAAAAAAAATAATAAAATAAATGATTACGTCGTGCGGAAAATGCGGTAAATTTATTTGCACCCTGTATAGGTACTTAATAGAACTACCTTTATAATTACCTACTGCAATCCGTAAATATTTAACAAAACTCCACGAGGAAATTAACATAAACATATCAAACCACAATTATAGTGAAGTACCTAACAATTAATCGATGGTATATCGATATAAATAATCGGTAAAACATGTAGGAAGTCACAACTCGATTCGTGTTGTCGTGTATCGATTTGGTGACAGGCACTGGTCGCTAATGAAGAGTAATTTGTTAGTTTTTAAGACATTCAATCGAAATTAGCTCATGACTAATTGATTTCTGTATTTTGAGCGGCTTTAATTATAGTTTTTAGTAAAGGCGTTAAACTTTCGACAAGTTTTTATTGATTGGGGAAAGTAATTAATGTTTTGTAATCAATGTTTAGTGTTGAATTTTGGGTAAAGAAATAATATGTTATGATAGTAGATTATGTATCTTATATATAAAAATGGATCGCTGTTCGTTAGTCTCGCTAAAACTCGAGAACGGCTGAAACGATTTGGCTAATTTTGGTCTTGAAATGTTCGTGGAAGCCCAGGGAAGGTTTGAAAGGTGAAAAAAAAATTTTAGGCGGTACGAAGTTTGCCAGGTCAGCTAGTTATTAATAATTATTAAGTAACCATAACATTATGCAACATACTTCACCAAATTGCTAAGGATTTATTATTATTTATAACCCAAAGCCTATAATTTCTCCTCAAATTATTCATTAATAAAATCATCAATCCAACTTCCACTTAGCGAAGATACGAATCATAATAACTACGCTTTCATTAATAAGTTTCTACCGTTTAACCCAGATATTCGAAACGATTCACCAAGTATCGATTAAATAATCGATCACATCGTAAACATAAATTAATCGTAAATCATCTCGGCCACAACTCGGAATCTCTTCGTACGTGACTCAAAAATGCGACCTGCTTAGCGAGACGCGTTCGAGTTTACCAATTACGCAATATAATCGTAACAATAAGATGAGAATACGGAAGTGTAACAGAATACGGCCGTGTAACCAAATTAACCCTTGACTTGTAGGTAACAGTGATTTTCTGTGCTCTTACTTTAGTAGTGACAGTTAAATAACGAACAAGAACGACTGTGGGCGATGAACAATGCCTAGGGAACGTTCAGAAGACGGCGACTGTAACGCTATAGCGCGGCTCATCAAGGACTTCTGCAGTTGCTCGGAGAACGCCACCTGGTCGCCGGAGATGACATCAGACAGACGAAAAGGCCCACTACTCAAGAGTGAACTCACAAACATGTCTGCGATGCGTCGAAGAATAATTTCCATTGCCAAAAGAAAAAACAAAGAAGTCCCAGAGCCGCCGAAACTGACCTACGGGACTACTTTCCAGAAGAATTCAGACACTCTCACTTCAAACTTGGTGAATACAACGATCAGTTCTCAAAGCAGTACTCTCAGGCGAAACATCGACAACTTCCTCCTGTCTCGAAGGATGTTCGCTCTCGAGGAGGACATTTACGAGAAACCTATTCAAGTGAAGACACCCACGTGCGGCGAGAACTGGTCTCTAAGCAAAGCGTGGCGGAACAACAACTCAGATTTCTTCAACCGCTCGCCTACCCTCGATTCTAACCGACTAATTGAGCGGAACTACACCCAACTCGAACGAATAGATGAGATCCCGCAGCGGAAAAAACGAAATAAGAAAATGAAGGAGCAATTGCGATACGATAGGAATATTAAGAGGCACATACGGATACGTGTGATGTTGTCTTTGCGGATGAGGAGGTATATGAAGAGGAGGATGAAGAAGCCTGGTCTGCAGGCGTCGCAGAATGTGAACGTGCCTCCGAGGAGGTTTCCGAGAGGGGCATCAGTGACGTCGAGTTTTGGGACTCGGTCTTACAGAAGTGTGATGACGGATAAGTTAGGGGATGGTGCTGTGTTGTTTGACATCTATGAAGCGAGGAACTCCACCATGGAGCTCTGCCACGACTACGAAGAGGACCTCGATACGCTACAGATTGCGTTACGCGCCGGTAACTTTAGGTAAATACTTTTTACAAGTTTTAAGATGTAAGATCTGAGAGTGAAAGTGAGGCGGGCTGAATGACTGAGTAATTATTAACATTACTTGCGCGCCTCTTTACTTGTTTGGTCTCTAGAGTAATGATAAACAATGTTGTACAGAATTTTAGCGTTGTTTTGAATATTTTAAAAACAAAATATTTACAAATTCCTCTGTTAGTAATAAAGTTGTTTTAAATGTTCAAATGTGACTTTAGGTTAGAATTGTTTATGAAAAAAGTGATTCTGTGTAACTTACAACAAGTAATTATTTACATAACATAAAATAACATCACGCCTTTTATCGCCGAAGGGGTAGGCAGAGGTGCACATTACGGCACTTAATGCCTCTGTACAATGTAACATCCACTTTTCACTTTATGTTATGAGTCCCATGTAATAGGGGGTGAGCCTATTGCCATATACCGGGCACATTTCCAGGCTCCGTGCTACTACTGAGATTTTTAAAAACCCAGTAAGTAATTATTTAATGATATAAAATGAACATATTATGTTTGTAAGGCTTAACAAAAATAAAATGAAACCGTCACTACCGGTTGATTACTTCCTCAAAATACAATTACAGATCAATTTGACAAAAATACAGTTATAAACATAAACACAGATACTACTAAAAGTAAACTGAACAAAAATATGAGCCAGAGTTGTGATTCATTTAAAGGTCACCATTTAGAAATTGTGCACAGGATGTGATGGGTGGTCTACCGTTACGGTGCTGTGGTGTCGTGTCCCCCATATTACGGTGACTAATACTCTAATACACATGTATGAACTATTAACCACCATTGTGATAAAATATGAGTTCATTCGTGCAAAATTTAAACTTGTGGTACGATCACGTAAATTCCGTGCAAAGGACAATGTCCAAAATCGCCCTGTGTAATAAAGAGTATCAGAATATACGATAATTAAACCCCTATTTTATTATATAAGTTGTAAATACTTCTGTATCACGGACTAGCTGTATTTTAAAATGTATTTCTAATAGAATTTAAGGCGATTAATAACATTAGGTCGCCATCTTCGTCTAATGTAATGAATAATAATCGTCGTAATAGGTAGTAACAATAATAATATACAGTAATCAAAACTTCTTTGCTTCTAAACAATTATTCTCTTCCGCAGCTAGTCCGCTATAAAAATAAGATCTTCTAGGAGTCTAAAAATGTTATGGAATACAATAAATAATTAATCGATACTCTTGGCTCCAGGGCCAACAATGTATGGACGCAGAGCAATGAGCAATGTCCTTTGAACTTGTTAGCTTATGTCATGATCAGTGCAAACTAATAAGAAATGTTCGATTAAATTCAGAAATGTATCTTTGAACCCTAATTGTTGAATGAAAATGGAATAGGCTTGTGAATTTCAGATGACTTATTTATAAGCGGTTTTCGTACATACAATGGCAAATTTTTTGAATAAAATAAATGTTTTCTCGTTATTGTATTGGGTCGGTATAGGCAGTGACTATAATACTAATTCGATCATTAAAACAACTCAATTATTATTACGATTCACTTTTCACAATCACAGTCACTACAATTGGGTAGTTTCCAGGGTATCAAAATTAAAAATCTAATTAGTCCGTCAGTTAGATAATGAAAAAATATTAGACATGTATTTTTTTATTTTCTAGATACAATGACGCTAAGTTTAGGAGTGGGAGGTCGTTACGTCATAACGCGCTATAAAATGTGGCTCGCTGTGACGTCACACGATTAATGTATCAGACGGGCATTAAAATAAAATTTAGGAAACTACCCTATTTCAATAGAAATTGAGTACATAGGATAAACGCCGATCCTCTCCAAACCACTGTATACCGATTCATAGTTAATTAACCAGGTGCAATACAACAATAATCGCTTACACAATACATCGTACATAGTAGACACTATGTATGTACATAAGAAAGTAATAATGTATCTGTGCAATGTACGTAATGTCATTGACATCGTAATAATATGGCGACACATCAAGCTATGCATTACCAGTATAACGTGACCGTTGGATGGGCTGAAAGATAATTTAAAGCGAGGTTATGATAAATTGGTTTTGTATAACGCGATGTGTTGTTGTTCAATCTGCAATTAGTCAGTGTTTGTTCTATTAGAATGCAGTTTCTAATCATTAATTTTATTTGCTTTTACTAGATAGGTAATCTAGACTTCAATATAACTTGATCGTTGATTTCGGCAATTAAATTATTTATCCTTACTACTTATATTACCTATTAATCGGAAAGTGAGTTTGTTTGTTTGTTCCACTTTAACGCCGTAACTACTAAACCGATTGCTTTGAAATTTTGCAGACGTAAAGTTAGAAGTCCGGTTTAAATAATACTTTTTATCCCTGAAAAATTTGATATTCCCGAGGGAAAACAAAAATATTGGTATAGATGGAGCTGTCTGTATTGGTAATGTCACATTGGGTTTTTATCATTTTGTGACGCGAGCGAAGCCGCGGGTAAACGCTAGTAAGTAATAATGAAATTGATTGTTCGTTTTACTTTTTTTTAAGATTATAAAAGAGATCAATTATAACGCAATGATATAATTAATGTTGATTTCTATCTTTTAAAGATTTATTCATTAATGAGGTAACTACTGTTTTTTGGGGCTTAGTATCTACATAGATTTTTTTATGTCTCAATTAAATCTAGATCACGTAACACTTCAAAATAACAATTATTCTCTTTACCTTATTTTTTAAACGAACGTTGCCCCACACTAGGATTCCTGTATCGTGTATCATAGACACAAAGTTTAAGGTCCAATAGTTCGGATTCTACTCAAAAGCAAATAAACAATGAAACCTTTCGCATGCCTCATTGGCCGAGTGGTCGCAAGTGCGACTGCCGGGCAAGGGGTCTCGGTTCGATTCCCGGGTCGGGCAAAGTATTACTGGGTTTTTAAAAAAATCACAGTAGTAGCACGGAGTCTGGGATTGTGCCCGATATGGCAATAGACTCACCCCCTATTACATGGGACTCATAATATAAATAGTGGAAAATGGGTTGTTATAATATAATACAGTGGTATAATGTACACATGTTCCTTTGTGTAATAATTGTTGTAAATAATCGCTCAGGGCTGACGTTATATGAATAACATTTAAACTTAATAATACTATATTAATTACTTAATAATTTTATAATACACTTCACACGCTACTCTGCATTTACTGCATTACGTCCGTTGCGTCACAGCCACAGGTTCAGTTGAAAACCAGCGTCAGGCACTAGAAGTCTGGCATTTATGCTGAACTGGACCTTTTTTGGTGCAGCTGTCGGGCACATGATTATTGTTGGTATATTTAACTTTTACATTTTGTATATACCTACCTACATCTATTTATGTTTTTTTTTATTTTTTTTATTTCACTCCTAATTTTTTGTTTGCATTGTATTTATTGTATTGTGTTTGTGCCTGGTGTTGTACCAAATAAATTATTTTTCTTCTTCTTCTTAAACAACAGCGATTAAAATTTAAAAAACTACTATTTTTGTCAGCATTTTTCGGGAGCGTTCCGTTTACACCCTGTATAAAGAAGATATAGAAAAGTGCGATTTTAAACCCAGAGCCCAGAAATAGATTGCTTCTAATGTGGCCAAAAGTAACAATGTACAAAGGAAGTAAACGAAAAAATATATAAATTGTAATATAATTGGACGTATTTCGATCATGACGATGCAAGATCAACAAATACCTATCACTATTAAGGCATTGTATTGTGTTGTATCAAAGATAGGTATTATGATCATTGTAATTGAAGTCTGGTGATCATTTTGAACAATGATGAAGCATTATAGTTACTGTACTTTTATTATGAACTAGCAACTTCCGCGCGGTTTGACCCGCTCCGCTCGGTTCCTATGGGTTATAGCGTGATGTTATATATCCTATAGTCTTCCTCGATAAATGCACTATCCAACACAACAAAGAATATTGAAATTGGAGCCGTAATTCTTGAGATTAGCGCATTCAAACAAACAAACAATTTTGCTTTATATATATAAATAGCTACTTTCGCGCGGTTTCACTCGCTCTGCTCGGCGCTTATTAATCGTAGCGTGATAATTTATAGCTTATAGCCTTCCTCGATAAATGGGCTATCCAACACAGAAAGAATTTTTCAAATCGGACCAGTAGTTTTATAGATTAGCGCGTTCAAACAAACAAACAAAAAACAAACTCTTCAGCTTTATAATATTAGTATTGTAGTATACCTATACCTAAGTATAAGATATAAGATGATATCATGAATTATTTTTTTGTTTTGTAAAGTAATTTCATATCATAATCGTAGTGTCGTAGTAGTGTGTAGTTTAAACTTCAGTTTGTTGGTTTCATACCTGAATCGTATAAAGTTTTATTTGTATTTTTGCCTTATTGAACTTTTCACATAATTATCCACCCCTTTCTTTTAAAATGGGACTGGGAACTTTATTATTATGTTTTTGGACATATATAAGTAATTCTCAGTGGTATAGCACGGAGTCTGCATTTGTGCCCGGTATAAGGCAATAGACTCACCCTCTATCACATGGAACGCATAACATAAATAGTGAAAATTGGGTGTTACATTGTACAGTGCCATTAACTGCCGTAATGTGCACTTCTGCCTACCCCTTCGGGGATAAAAGGCGCTTATGTTAAGTACTAAAATATAATTTGTAGTATTAGAATAAGTTTGAAGTAATTTCCTCGAGTTAATAAATTATTTATTCAAATTCAAATTCTTTTATTGCGTATCATGTGTACAATTGGTGTTACATGAGGTACAGTTTCAACATGAAACCCGGCTAGGGCACGGCAACATATGGAGCAAAATATAATCTAATTAAATTACTATCAATACTTATTATATTATAACATAAGAAATGTTGTTTTCATACTAAACATTAACATATTTACTTTATTTTTAAAATAGGTAACACTACAGTGTCTACAATGCACTTATTTTTCAGTAAAAGTTACTGAAATATTTTACAAAATACTTAAGTAACTATTTCTAGAACAGTGTCCAACAAAGTCATATCAAGGCTTAAAGCTATTAAAATGAAATAACCTACATTTAAATTATTTTTGATTGATCATATTTATTTATGCACTATGCAACTTTCCGGAATCCATTATATGAATTGGTCGAACATATCAAAAATCCATAATTTTTAATTTATACATGGAACAGTTAAGTTTTATTATGATTTATCATGATTTAAATGTCAAATATTGTGTTATGATGTGATCTAATTCTAATCTATTTGAGAACATCCTCGAACTAACGAAATTAATTTATTTCTTAAAATGTCAAAGTCGATCCCTTGTCACGGTTTGATTAATGTGAATAAATTAATTATTCTATTAATCAAAACAATGTTTAGCATTTTCATTATGTAGTAATTACAAATTTTTTATTTAATTATTTCTTCAGCATAACATAAAACTATGATTTTATGAGCAGCGCCATCTGTTGCTGAGTAGATAAACTAGAAGCCCGTGACAGTGGTTCGTGCGCAAAGATGGTGCGCTCACGTGAACCAATAGAATAGTTCAGCTATTACTTGATAGATGGCGTTGTAATCTTATACTTTACACATTTATGTCTTTTATTCGTATATAAGAAAATAATGCAATATCTTCATAATTTAATAACCTACTAAGTGTTTGATGTAGGGAGATTTCCTATAAGTTTTTACCTTCTGTTTTTTCAATTTTAGGTTCGTAAAATTTTGTTATACTAACATTATTGAACCTTATTTTCACAACTATTTGTACATAAGTCTAAAATTTTACGTCAATTTATACATAAGTCTAAACTATTCATCTGCCTTTCAGGAGCGGTCGTCTAGCTGTCGAGGGTTGGTGGTGCGGGCGCGCCATGCCGGGCGCTGGCGGGCGCGCCAACAATGGCGCCCTGGCGTTGCACTACGCGGCCGCACGAGGGTGCCTCGACTGCGTGCGGTTGCTAACGAACACTACGCCTGATGTCTCGTGAGTACATTTTAAAGTATTTGCGTGATTATAGTGCCATCTATGTTTCATACATTCGGACTACGAAGTTGACGTTGTTTGTATGAATTTTTAGTACAGAAAACGCTGACTATTTCAATGTCTGATAGCTTAACTTAAGTTTCATAAACAAAATTATACGTATAGTGTGCCTTCTCAGAAAGAAAATAGGTATTTACTCGAGTACATTTTCATAACAGATACAACGAATTATTTCAGAATTATTTTAATTTTGAACAAACTGTAGTAATAATCATTTACACCCTTAAAATATAAATACAATAAATCAATAATTCATATCATTTACCGCCTTTCAACTCATTCAGGTCAAGCGCAGATGCAAAATAATAACCAATGACAATTCACCTTAAAAATAATGATAAAACAGAAACATTACCAATAAATCCATAGCTTAATCTCTCTTGTTAGATGATAGAAGTCATTTAGATTGATGCAAGACATTCTATTAAGTTGGCAATAAAACATGCGCACGAGTCTCATTAAATGGTCACACGTCATTGCGCATGTGCAACAGATCAGGTGCAACTGAGCGAGACTTATCTGTGCTCGACATGTTACGAGTGCTCGAGTTTATTGAGACCATTTTACTTGGAGACTATTAAAACAGTTTATGATCGTATGCATTATTGGGATTCCATGTCACGTTTGGCCTTCCGACCGAGGTTTCAGGATGGGTCATGCATAACACGACCCAGCTCAAAGAAGGAGTAGGAAAGGGGTGTTTTTAGTTAGAGGGAGTGTTTAGCCTGACACTCCTTCTCACTTCACCCTGAACGAAGGGTGTAATATGATGATTTCCCCCATACAAAAGAATGACTTGAAAAATATTTGGCCTACGTGCTTATGCGTGCTAGTGTTTGCTTTTCACTCTTAACTTAGATATAACTTAGACTTACAATGACAGGATGATTTCTTATTTAGTGGAAGTATTTTGATACCATCAACAAACAGCCTATAGCCTAACAAATAATATTAATGTTAATATTAATATTAATAATATTAATGTCCAAACCTTCTCACACGGAGAAGGTTTGGACATTAATCACCACGCTTGCTCAATGCGGGTTGGCAGTCGCGGAGAACCTAACGGGTTACCGGGGCTCCGGCTCGACGTGCAGGAGAAGAAACGGGGTGGTTTTTAGTCAGTAAGAGTCTGACACTCCCTCCCACCTCACCCAGGCGGGAGCAGACATTCGATGATTTTCCCCCCTTAAAAAAATGCGGGTTGGCGATTTGAAATATAATTAGAAATTATAAGCCCAGGTATCCTCACGATGTTTTCCTTCACCGTTTGTCCGTGGTGTCTCAATACGATATTATTATTGAGAAGTATTTGGATGGTTGTATCCAATTTAAAATTCCTTACAATTTAGTTGAATTTGTCTAGTAATCCGGGAATGACCATCAATTACTAATTTCCTTTATCTAAATATTTTTTCTTGGTTTACCTAGCGTAATTTATCGCCAGACATAGGTAAGCACTTTAAGCAAAAACAGTGATTTACGGAACCCTATTTAGCTTTAATCAGCTCTTGTAAGAAGTTTTTGCGATCTGGTCTCCTGGCCATAACTGTCCAGTCACGGGAACTAACGGCGTGTACTGTTACTGATCAGTGATCGTACGCGATGCGTATGCGCAGCTAAGTTGCTGAGATTCAATCTGTTCTGTGTTAGGTAGGTTAGGGTCTTAAGACTTCTGTTTTGTCAGTAACAATTTTTAATAGAGTATTTTGTAACTAAGTGGGTAGTAACATAAATTATGTATAAAATAAAACTACGCTTCAATAAAGCGACTTCAAAAACCACAAAATAAAAATCGAAAAATAATTATTATTCACTGTACTCAGTACCCCTTTACCCCTTGTTAACCTTTCAGAATAATGAATACATGTATAACTTTTATCCAGATACTTCTGAACCAATTAATATAGGTCTAGCTAGATAGAGTCTAGTTTCAAAATCAAGATTTTGAGATCAAACATTATTATGGCATGTCTTAATTTTCTAACCATGCACACATACTCATAATTCGCACTGAAAATGATCCAACTGTTCATCTTAGTGATATACTTATCAATTTCTATCACAAAATATAGTTATTACAAGTACACGCATGGCAAAAGATAGTAATTAGTATAATTATATGATGGTACATTTATAATTAGTTAGTATTCCGTGCAGTCTAATCATATAAAGTTGCATGCACGCTTTGGAATGCTTGAAGACAGATGCACTATGTTATACTGTTTGTAGGCTTTCATAATTTTACGTTACATCTGTGAAGTTCGTTTGGTAAAATGGTGGACAAGAGGTGTCATATCATGACGTCATCTCTCAAGCCTTTTTTTGGCGGCGGGAAAATCATCCAATGACTGCTCCCGCCTGTGTGAGGCGAGAGGGAGTGTCAGACTCTTCCTGACTAAAAACCACCCCGTTCCTCTTCCTACTCCTGCACTTCAAGCCGGAGCCCCGACAACCCGTTAAGTCTTCAGCGGCTCCGTATCGGCATCAGCCCTGTTGGGCCCCGTCTGTGGTGGGCTGCCAGCCTTCTGGATACTTTCCTATTGACGTCGATGCGGACGAATTGTCTATTTACGTATAAATATATCTAATTACAGATAATTGTAAATAGACATTTTTAGTTTTCTTTTATTTAATTTTCTCCATTAGTTTTAGTGTATTTTAAGTTTTACTATATTTTATTTCTAAAAGTTATTAATGATAAAAAATCGATATATTGAAACAGCTCAATATTACTTTGTCGAATTGGGGAATCGTGACCCAAAGCGTTGTTTGCCCACTTGATCAATGAGAAGCAGTAATGTTTATGTTGTCTTAATCCAAATTAATTCTGTGTTATCTCCACAAATGCAGTAATAAGGAGTTAATTAGAGATTAACTCTTACAGATAATGATCTCGCATCACATCTTTATAACCGCAGTTACCGCTGCGTCGTCTAAATTTCAAACGTTTCCATTAATTTACATTTTGTGAATAGATTCAGCTACTGCTTTATGATCATGGTCGATAAAGAAACAATTTTACTTTACACATTTGCTTAATATTTTTCTTTTTAAGTTATCTTGTGTTTGGTAACTAGCTTAGATCACTTAGGTATAGTGTTATTTCGAAATACTTGGTAATTTTTGTATAGGTAAGTAAAAATAATGGCAAAAATTTTGCTGTCGTATATTCGCTTCTGAATAGACATTTGGGGATTAAGACTTTGACTGCCAATAAAAAAACTGTTGAAGGTAAATTCTCCGCTAACGTCGATCACCGGTGACCCCCATGGCGTTTAACGTGTTAATTAATAGTTCATACAATATACGCAGGTGTGTATATTTTCTTAAATAGGATGCAACTCTATATTTTGACTCAAACACTGTAAAAACATAAAAATATAACATAACATAACATCACGCCTTTTTATCCCCGAAGGGGTAGGCAGAGGTGCACATTATACCACTGTACAATGTTACACCCAGTTTTCACTATTTATGTTATGAGTCCCATGTAATAGGGGGTGAGCCTATTGCCATATACCGGGCACAATTCCAGGCTCCGTGCTACTACTGAGAATATTTAAAAACCCAGTAATACTTTGCCCGACCCGGGAATCGAACCCGAGACCCCTTGCCCGGCAGTCGCACTTACAACCACTCGGCCAACGAGGCAGTCATAAAATTATATTATACATTATTATAATTTATAAATAAAAATTATAAATTATATATAGAGGCAGACATAAAAATATATTATAATATATTTTGCTGATCGCGCTGATCATTTACCATCACATGATCCCTCATTCGCCGTTCGTCGATCCTCATTCCGTAAACAAAATAAAATTAAATGAACAGGGTGATAAAAATTAAACTAAGTTCTAATAAAACTCGAAAATAAAGTAAAATCCTAAGCGTATATCCAGTGAGACGGGTAGAGAAAGCGTTACCGAATTAATTGCGCTTATCCGCCATCTTGCGCTCATCTGCGATCTTCACGCCTGCGCCTGCGCACACTGCCGTCCTGTGACACATTTTATGTTGGTAGTTAAAATTGTTGGGTTAATAGAACATGGTATATTTTGTGAAAGGGTTAAAAGTGAATTTTAAAGGTTCTCCTTAAGTTACGGGTCGTTTTATTACACAGTTAATTTTTAAAAAACGTTGCCCCACATTAGGATTTTCTCCTTTGTCGTGGGTGAGTTTACAAACATACAAGTTCACATACACATGACACGCAGACCCGGAATAACAATATATGGATCACACAAAGAGTTGCTCCGTGCGGGAATCGAACCCGCGACATGTTGCGCGGCAGCCGGTTGCCCAGCCACCGCACCAACCGTGCAGTCTATTTTATCGACGAACGGCTGCCATGAAACATCACGTTACGATCAATAGGAGCTGAGCAGAGCAAAACTGCTATATAAAACTTATATAATAACATATACTGATATAATTACTGCAATAACATCGTTTATATTACAATGTGAAACCTATATATTGATTCAGTTTCCTAGAACTGCACCTCACTATATAATTGTAGACGTTTTTAACGGAAATTCTTTGTATGTACCTACTGTTGTCCGTTTTCTAGTGATTCAGGGCTAGTATTGTTGTTTAAAAAGACATTAGTTTTAGTATTAAAGAGTCTCTAACTTCTTGAGGTATACTTATTTGTAAATGTTTAATTATTTACTTTTAAGTAAAACTCAATATAATAGAGGTAATGTCGTGGTGGCCCGGAGGTTGAAGACGCCTGCTTCTCATGCAAGAGGGTGCCGGTTCAAAACCTACCAACGGCAAGTACCAATGTGACTTTTACCGAGTTATATGTACTTTCTAAGATTATTTAGATACCACTGATACCACGGTGAAGGAAAACATCGTGAGGAAACCTGGGCTTATAATTTCTAATTATAAGTTTGAAATCACCAACTCGCATTGAGCAAGCG